AATGTGTCCCTACTATTTATTGATGTCCCACAGAAATCTCAAACACAAACATAAAGGCTGAGCATATCACTCAGCGGTATAACAGCTTCCATGTGCAAGGCTCTGGGTTCCATCCTTGGTACCTAAGACTGTCTATTAATCTACTGTCTGTTTCTATATCTGCAAAAAACTAAAATGAAAATTAAATCACTGTGTTGCCGTGGTAGTGAACCCTGACTAACAGTAAGTGTTCCAGGGTGATGCTATTGCCCCGAGCTAAAGCTCTGGAACTGCATGCTGCTCCTTGGGTGCTGATTTAGCCAGTCCTGAGGTTTTTCATACAGAAACAGCATGTTCATTAAAGCTGGGAGCCATGAAGCTGTGTTTGCCATTGACAGAGTTTCAGTTGGGATCATGAGATAGAGAATTCTGAACTGGAGGTGTAACTTAGAGAATTCTGAACTGGAGGTGTAACTTAGAGAATTCTGAACTGGAGGTGTAACTTAGAGAATTCTGAACTGGAGGTGTAACTTAAGAGAATTCTGAACTGGAGGTGTAACTTAGAGAATTCTGAACTGGAGGTGTAACTTAGAGAATTCTGAACTGGAGGTGTAACTTAGAGAATTCTGAACTGGAGGTGTAACTTAGAGAATTCTGAACTGGAGGTGTAACTTAGAGAATTCTGAACTGGAGGTGTAACTTAGAGAATTCTGAACTGGAGGTGTAACTTAGAGAATTCTGAACTGGAGGTGTAACTTAGAGAATTCTGAACTGGAGGTGTAACTTAGAGAATTCTGAACTGGAGGTGTAACTTAGAGAATTCTGAACTGGAGGTGTAACTTAGAGAATTCTGAACTGGAGGTGTAACTTAGAGAATTCTGAACTGGAGGTGTAACTTAGAGAATTCTGAACTGGAGGTGTAACTTAGAGAATTCTGAACTGGAGGTGTAACTTAGAGAATTCTGAACTGGAGGTGTAACTTAGAGAATTCTGAACTGGAGGTGTAACTTAGAGAATTCTGAACTGGAGGTGTAACTTAGAGAATTCTGAACTGGAGGTGTAACTTAGAGAATTCTGAACTGGAGGTGTAACTTCCTAGGTGTAGTGCCTGCTTAGTATGTGCCAAGGGCCTGGTTTAGTCTTTGGCAAAACACACACACACAGGCATACACATATACACACAGAGACACACACACATACACGTACACACCTAGAAACACATCCAGACACACACACACACACACACACACACACACACATAGACACAAAGAGAGATGCACACACATACACACACAGAAATGCACACACAGAGACATACACACACCTCCACACACCATAAAAAACTGATGGTTTATATAGAGATTAAAAACCAACTCTTGAGCTGGGCGGTGGTGGCGCACGCCTTTAATCCCAACACTCGGGAGGCAGAGGCAGGCGGATTTCTGTGAGTTCGAGGCCAGGCTGGACTGACAGCCTCCAAAACAATACAGAGAAACCCTGTCTCATAAATACCAAAAAAAAAAAAAAAAAAGAAAACAACTCTTAGGGCATTTAGTCATTTTGTGTGTAAAATTTTGGGGGTGGGTATGCACTTAATTATTTAAATCTTGCTGTGAGACTGAACTTTCCTAACTTTACCATTAAAGCTCAGAATAACTTGAAAAACAAAACAAAATTCAGATAGGTGGGAAAACGATGGTATCATTAACTAATATCAAGCAGCCTCAGCCAAGCACAGTATGATTTGACCTGACCTAGCATTTTAAATTTGAGGTTTACTATACTGCTCATTGAAGCTATTGTTACCTTGAGCGTTATTACCACCGTTATTTTGTTCTCGGTAAACTGTGAGGGGAGGAGCTCACCCAGTTATTTGGCAGACACAGAGAAAGTGTGCTTTAGCATCCGTCTTAGACACTTGATGCCTTAGGTTCTGATTTCTTTCTTTGCCTGCTACCCTGTTTTGCTCTCTTTAGTAAGAATATGTCATGTGAGGCCCAGACCCTAAGGTGTCTCCAGGTTTTCCCATCATTGGAGCAGGGGTGGTATTTAACACGCCTTCCGTCAGTGCCTGAGATTGCTGGGGAAATGAACCACCAGTACTTAGGGCTGGGTGATCGACTACTTCATTTGTCCATTTCTTGTTTTTAATGTCTGCGTGATTTGTCCTTTTTGAGAGGTTTATGTTGCTTTTGTAAGGTGATAAAGAATAAAGGACCCATTACTGAAAACAATAGGATTAGATACCAAAAATTACCAACTATTACAATGAATTGCTTTACTTTATTTGTGATGTGTGTATGTGGTTTTTGTTTTTTTGAAACAGGGTTTCTCTTTGTAGCTTTGTAGACCAGGGTGGTCTTGAACTCAGAGCTCTGCCTGCCTCTGCCTCCCAAGTGCTAGGACTAAAGGGGTGTGCCACCACTGCCCTTTGAGGCTCTGTGTATTTATGTGCACTATTTGTGTGCCTGGTGCCTGCAAAAGCCAGAAGAGGGCATTGGATCCCTTGGCAATTGCAGCTTCCAGTTGCAGGCAGTTATGAGCTGCCATGTAGGTGCTGGGAACCGAACTCGGGTCATCCTGCAAGAGCAGCAAGGGCTCTTAACCCATGAGCCCTCTCTCCAGTCTCCACCTTGTTGTTTTGCATAAGAAGAGTGGGGAGGAGGAGAGAAAGGAAAGAAACAAATTGGTGACTTTCCAGTGCAGTTATGGAAGCCTATGGTGGATGAATTTGGATCCTCTCACTTTAAAATGAGGCTGTGTGGAGGCTTCAATTGTAGACTTGACCCAAAACTTGCAGAGCATGCCCTTTGAGTACACACACCCTCCCTTGGATGTTTTCTCTTCCTCTGTCCACACATGTACCCAGGACCAACCCTTAATGCTTTTGGACCACACATCATGCTGGGAATTTCTCCGGGAGCCCCTTCTTCATGCCTTGATATTCTGGACCCTTCTTTGTGTCATAACTATCAAGTAGCAAGAGCTGTGGTTCTTGGAGCTTCCGTTTTTACCTCATATTTATGCTACTTAAAAAGCCGTCATTTATTGCTCTCTGTAGTTAAAAACACTGCTCAAAGTGTTACGCTTGGCACAGGGGCGTGTGGCAGCCTACAGGGCTGTGCTCCTTTCAGGATCATCTGGCTACTTGAAGCCATCATCCATCTCTGCTTGCTTGCTTCAAGCTGTTTAGCAGGCCAGATGCTGTTGCTTCCTTTACATCACAGCAGAAACCCTTGACCAGCTCTGGATTTGTGTGGTTGTTGAGTGTGGGTTGACACTGCAGCTGAACTCTCTGCAATCTGTGTCACCTTTGGCTTCTGTGGCGTTGCATCTGCTTTCTTCGGTTTGTACCTTAGTGCCATCCCGTTCCCCAGATATAGCCATTGCTGGGTAGGGATTCCGGATCTCAGTGGTTCCCAGGAAGTCGCCAGCTCCTTACTTTTTCACTCAGCTCCCTACCTCATGCCCAGTGTCTGGATTAGACAGAACATGTCCCTCCCTCACTCTGCCACACCCAGACTCCTGCTCTTCGTCTCCCCTTTGTCTTCAGTCCTGATGTCTCATCCTCCTCTGTTCTTTTTGTTTTCATAGCCCACTTGTTCCTGTACCAGGCTACCCTTACATTTGTAGCCTAACATGGTCTCTGTCTGATCTTGTGTTGTTCTCTAGTTGGTCTTTCTCATCTCTCCTTCACTTTTTCCAAGAATTTCCATCAGGTGGAGCTCTCATAGCACAACCCCGTCCACTAACCTTCCAACTCAGAAATCTTCATTGGTGCCTGTTACGTCCCGTCTTGAGAATTAGATAAAGACTTCCCAGGCTTGGCTCCAGCCTGCCTTTCAGCCCAGTCTGTCCCCATCTTTATCCTGCTCTTCTGCCGGATACTTCGCCTGTCACTCTGTTATCTCTTTGTCCATGTCCTTTTCTCGTTCTCGTTTCCCACCTTTTATTTTACCGCCCTGCCCTCGACTCCGCCTCTGCTAGGGATTGAACCCTGGGCCTCACCAGTCAGCCCGGTCCTCAGCTTTCTCCTTCCGTTTCCAGGGTGTGGCACAGATTTTTTTCCTGCAAAGGTCAGTTCTTATCTAAACTGCAAGTTAATCCGTCCTCTGGTTTTCCATAGTAGTTTACAGGTGTTGCTGTTATGCTGGGTGGCAGTATGATGGAAATACCCACCACAGCTTTCACCCCACACTGCAGGCTCTGTGTGGTTGTACAGGGGATGCTCCTGGCCATTTCAGGGCACTGGCTCATCTCTTAGAACACTGTTTGAGTGAATGTCCATTGGATCGAGGCCAGAGGCATTAGTTCAGTCTCTTATAGAAACAGGACACAGTTGAAACCCTCCTCCATTTCAGCTGAAGAATCAGCAGATCGTTTGTCACCTGGATCTCTAGATTCTTGCCAGATCCTGATGAATGCGATGGGCTGGCTAATTACCCTTTGGGGGCAAAACCAATTCTCTTCTCAACTGTGTGAAAAAGCTTTATTGCAACACAGCATTGATTGGCTGGTCCATGAAAGTTCAAGTAAGTGCTAACTGTACTTTTTCAGAACAAGTTGGTCTATTCCTGGTCCATACTCAAGAATTCAGTATCCACCCTGGAAGGACATAAAGGGAACATTGTGTGCTCAAACAGCCCCCTTACTGAGTTCCTGGGGTGGCATACACTTTATCACATGGTAAGAATTCGTAGACAGGTTCATTGGATTTGATCTCGGTTTCTCGACGTTTTAGTGGGGTATGTCCAGGTTGCACTGTTAGACTTTATGTCATTTAATCCACTTCCAAAATCATTTGGTATTCCCGATAAAAATAACGTGGCCAAGGGTCTTTCGGCTGTGCCGGCAGCAGGAAGCCAGCCTTGGAGCCCTCTCCTTGTGGTTGAAGCAACAGAGACGATTTTTCCTTTGCGTTTCCAGATTCTTTGCTCATCTTGAGGGTGAGCCAAGGTTTACAGGACAAGATTTGTGGACCCCTTACATTAAATCTTTTTCTTTTCTCTTTTCCTTTTTAGAGGGGCGCATGGTCATCCAGGATATTCCTGCTGTCTCCAGCAGAGGGCATGCCGAGAACACACCTGACTTGGTGTCAGACCCCGCCTACTACAGCAGCTTTTACCAGCCATCTCTGTTTCCTTACTACAACAATCTGTACAACTACCCGCAGTACTCCATGGCCCTGTCTGCCGAGTCCTCCTCTGGGGATGTGGGAAATCCCCTTGGGGGGTCCCCTGTGAAGAACAGCCTTCGGAGTCTGCCAGGACCTTATGTGCCTGCGCAGACTGGAAACCAGTGGCAGGTACGACCCAGAGTTAATAGGATATGTGAGACACACATGCACGTAAAATGTACATGCATGCGCACATGTGCCACACATGCCCAATTCAGCACACATGTAGTCAAAGTATGAAAATCACGTTGGTTTTTCTTTCCAGCTGTTGATAATGCCATTCAACTTCAGAGTTTGATTGCAGGGTCTTGGAAGGGATTGTGCATGTTATTTGGGTTGATTTTTCAGTTTTAGCTTCTCTCACATTGTCGTTTTGCAGAAATGCCCATCTGGCCAGAGTTAGATGTATCTGTGGCCCCACCTCTTCCAGCCTTCCTCATCTTGGGGCACCTTAGAATTTATTAGGCGCAGCTTCCTGGGTAGCAGTCGTCACCCTGAAAATTTTTACACCAGGAGAGAAAAGTATTATGATGTATGTGTTTGCATGACAGAAAGGTTTGAAAGGGAATTAAGTTGTATTGCCATGGCCCAGTAACATAGGTGGGTGTGTTTTAGAAATAGATATCAGTCTTTCAAAGTACACACACGTATAGTGTGCGGTGAAGAGCCTTTGAGATTTGGAGTGTTTTGCTGCATTGGGGAAAGAGCATTGTCTGGAGTGGTTATGCTTCTGAGGGTGGAACAGTTTCCCCGCAGGTCATTCATTGCTTCAGTACCAGAAGCACCCCGAGGCTAGATGATGGTGTGTGCTTCTGTCCTAGGAGTGTGTAGCTGAGAGGTTAGAGCCACATCACCAGGCCACAGAAGATGCTGTGATCCTGTAAGAACCGTGCTTGCCACGGCTGTGTGAACATGCTGAGCCTTTCCCAGCCAGCATTTGATTTCAGTTACGAGTAACATATACCTAGGAGTTGGTGCAGATCTTTGATGTTCTTCTTATGTCCTTAGCTTTATTGAGGTATAACTGACAAATCGGACACATTCATATTGTATACTGTGTTGTCCTGATTGAGGTATGTGACCACTGCATTTCTGATCACAGTAGGGCTAATGAAGGTACATTCCCTTAAGATTTAGTCTGCATTTTTCAGATACCAAGCATTATTGATTATAACTGCCACATTGTACATTAGACTTTCAGAACTTAAAATTGAAAGTAGAAACTTTGATGTATGTCTCTCTACTTCCCTAACCCCAAGCCTCTGGAAGTCAGTGTTGTAAATTTCTGTTTCTGAGAATTAAGGGAGTTTTGTTTGAATAGTCTTTAACTTTCTTTTTTCACTTTTTATTAATTTATTTTTTACATTCCAATCCCAGTTCTCCCTCCCTCCTTTCCTCCCTCTCCCCCATCCCCCCCTCCCATCTGTTCCTTGGAGAGGGTAAGGTCTCCCCTAGGAAGTCTACCAACTCTGTCTCATCATCTCATTGAGGCAGGACCAAGCTTTCCTAAAGCCAACTTGTGAAACATTGTGATCTGACATTTCCCTTTAGTCAAGTCTGTTTCATTTGCATCTCCCCCCCCCCCCCGTCAGGGAATTATTAATGTTCAAGACATCCCACTTTGAGGAGTCTCTTGCCACGCTCAGGGACCTGACTAGTCCTGTGAACTACAGAGTTCTCTTAAGTTTCCCATGCCCTTTACATTTTCACATGTGCACATATGTACGCATGCTGGCATCTGTGTGAGCCGGTACACGTGCTATAGAGGGCATGTGGAGACCGGAGGTTGGCTTGAGTGTCTTTCTTAGTTGCTCTCTACCTTATCCAGTGAGGGGAGGTCTCTCTCTTGAATGCCTGTATTTGACTAGTCTTATCAGCCATTTTGCTCTTGGGATTTCCTGTCTCTGCTCTTCTGTGATGAGATTATGGGGGGGCCACCATGCCTTCTGACACTTTTTATGTGGGTCTGGGAGATCTGGTCCTCCTGCTTGTGTGGCAAACACTTTACTCCTTGTGTCATTTAGAATTGAGAGGTGTTGTGAGGACAATGGGAATCTGAAGGACTGCCACCTAGACCTCTTCAGACCTTTCAAGCATAGCAGATTTTAAGGTTTGGGAAAGGGGGAAGGTTTTCAGTTGGCTTCTGTTGACAGCTCTCTTCCTGTGGTGGGAAAGAAACATCTTAAAGATTTAAATAAGGCAGGACCTGGTGGCACATGCCTTTAACCGCAGCACTCAGAGGGCAGAGGCAGATACATCTCCCAGTTCAAGGCTAGCCTGGTCTACAGAGCAAGTTCCAGGACAGTTACGGTTATACAGAGAAACCCTGTCTTGAAAAACAGAAGATTTAAGCAGAGCAGACCCTCTCGCCGGTCCTGCAGAGGCCCTGGGCTGTCAGTTGCCACTGGCCAGTTTTCTGGCTCTTTTTAGCCTTTGGCAATAGGGTAGTTGGGTGGGTCTGTGAACCTGATAGGTTAGTTGATAAAGGCTGAGGGAAAGACAGCCATCTCCATTTGAACATTAATCACATCTTCTAAACCAGTGGTCTCTTCCTTTTGTCAGAACCGTTTCCGTAGCTGCTAGTCCCTGACCCAATGATGTTGGCTTCACTCTTCTGCCAGGGACCAGCAAAGTCATGTGGGAGTTCAGTCTGGAGATGTGGCCACTCACCAGGAGCACCTTGCTGGGGCCTGGAGGGTACCTCCTGTTGTGCCCAGGGTAGCACCGCCCCTCTCCTCATGCAGAAGGGGGAAGGCATGTGCTATGAGACAGTTTACTTAGACACACATACAAGCCAGCCAGAGTGGAAGGGGAAACTGGCAAACTCCCTTAGTCCTGTGAGAGACAGATTTGGTGTTTAGCGTCTTGCTACAAGCCAGAGACTGAGAGAGGAATGACGTTCCCAAGGTCCCCACACCACCAAGGGAAAGATCCAGGGTTTGAACCCGGCTTTGAAGTGTTTGCCAGCAGTGTCTGACAATCACTGGATCCGATCTGCCAACAAACTCGGGACTGCAGAATGTGCCTTGCCCGAGTCGTCTGGGAGTGGGGACCCTGGGCATACCTGTGAGCACACGGTCTCTGCAGGCCAACCTCAGGAGTGGGTGGATCCTCTGTAACCGCTCAGATCCTTTGTTGTTTAGGGCTTAGAGACATTGCATAAACCTTGTGTTTTCTGTTGAAGATCTTCTTGGAACTCTCTTCTGTTTTTCTTCACCCGTGCTGGTTAGAAACAAGCACAAGTGTCCTGATGAGAGCTGATGTGCGACTGTTTGAGGTGGCTGAGGGTAGCGCTTTCATGAGTTCTGAAAAGACCTAGTCCCTGTCTAAAGACGGGTCACTGTCTAAAATAAGCTACATCTCGCTAATTTGAAGTTACTTTTGGAATCTGCATAACAATTTTCCATGAATGTGATGGCAAATAAGGCGTAAGGAGGGACATTCTCAATGTCTATTATGTAGCAAAGAGTGATCCTAAGAGACAGACTAAAGGGACTCTGATAAGCAACTGTAAACACACTTGACTTTTAAAAAATGCCCTGCCCCCAAATTCTATTGGAAGTAAATTCATACATTCAAACAGAGCCAGCATAGCTGTAAGCTATCAATTTGCAAACTGCCAGATGCAGATCAGTACGGTGATGAGCAGGCCTGAAATGGGTCCTGGAGTTCTGCTGCAGAGAGATACAGAGATGCATGACTCCATGATCGGGCCTGCTGATGGGAAACAGGACACATGGAAGACCTGGAGTTGTAACCCTGGAAGGTCCACATCCAGTTACACCTTTCGATTTAGCCATGTCACCTTGAGCAGCTACTCTGTGCTCCAAATATCATCTCTCTTAGCCTTGCTACTTTGAATGCCATTGCGTGTTAGGGAGCAGTATGGATGTTTTTCAACCAAAGACCTCTTTTGGTTCCTAGAAAATACATATTGTGTCAGAGAACATGATTTTATTTTAAAGATAGACTTCCTAACAAACAAGCAGGGCATCCATTTTTACATCAGAAAAAACAAAAACAAAACACTGACTTTTATGTGGAGTTAGGCCTCCTGCATGCCTAACCTATAAAAGCAAGCAAGCCACAGACTGACTCAGCACCTACTGAGTACCAAATCTATGAGGGACGGAGGGAGGGAGGGAGGGGGAGGGAGGAATGGAGGGAGGGAGGGTGAGATGGAGGGAGGGAGGGTGGGATGGAGGGGGAGGGAGGAATGGAGGGAGGAGAGAGAGCATGAGAGAGCTCTTGCAAGCCTGCTTCCTCTCCCAGCCTCTGGGGGCAGCATCCTGGAATCCCAGAGTGCGCACCCTCGGAACACCACCAAGCGTGCTGAGAAGGGCTTTAATGGCTTCTGGTCTGTCTCCAGCCTGCAGAGATTTGTGGCCCAATCATAGATTCCTGTCCTGTTGTGAAACAGGAATAACATTTGTGACACTGGAACAAAACTCACGATGAATGGCTGCTTCCGCTGACCAGCAGCTCAATTTCGCTTCTGCATTTAATTGCCTGCAAAAGCTGTTTATTGCCTTGTGCACTCCTCCACGGCAACATTATCTCTTAAATAAACATGTTGTACCTGGTTGACAAGGGAGAGGTGCATATCAAGTGAGCAGAAATAAATATGGGCGGACTCAAGAGCCGTGCCTGAGATCTCCTTCAGGCTCGCAGCTGGCGCTCTTTTGTTAGCTGTTTCCAAGCTGTGCCAGCCAGACGTCTAGGTTCACATTCCCACCTCAGTCAGGGTGTGGTCAGGTGGCAGCCTTAGGGGTGGCATTCCTCTGGTGGCTCCTTTGGTCTCAGTCTGAGTCATCGCATCATGATTGTCCACTGACAGCTATGCCTCTCACTGAAAGCCATTCATGTATTAAATAAACATACACCAGGGACTGCTACATACTAGGTTTGGCTGTCAAATGAAACAGAGAAAAGCACAATAGGTAACAGCAGTTAACGATAGTTCATGAAGCTGGAAGAGACAGTGTTGGGTAGATAAGCCAAAGACCTTGATTTGATCATCCCATAGCGTGTCTGTATATGGGGAAAACGGGAAGAGATGTTGGGAGTCGCCAAATAGTCCTTGGTTTGAACTGAGATACTGGCAGGAAGGAAACAGATTCTGGCATATG